CGTTCAAACATGCGTACTATTATATGTAAGGCCCATTTCTTTACTTTCCACCATGGAAATTCTGGTTTTTCCTCATCATCAATATGTGAGCAGTCTGGTATTGGCCTTTCAGCGATTTGCCGGCAAATTTCCATCCACAGCGAAAACGTTTCTTTTGTTATAAGATCCAATGGCAGTGTGTACTGGGTTAAGGCGTAGTAAATTTTTAAAATTTGCTTTTGAAGCAACATCGATTGTTCCGATTGATCATTCATTAAGTTAACCATCAGTTGGTAGATCATTGGAAGAAGAAGATTCATTGCTTCATGTAGAGGAACACGCTCTTCTGAGCGCTTGTATTCATATGTCTTTACTAATTGATACATAGTCAGGAGCGCGCCATTCCATCCATTGACATCTAAATAGTTTAAACATGTTTTATTGTACTAAATATACTAGTCATATTATTACAAATTAAGTGTACTCCTGTAGATGTGTATGGTACAGTAATTTAAAATAATTTTACCTGGATTTTGTAGATAAATGCTGATGTTGTCCACTACTTGTGGCCAGCGCCCAGGAAAATCACTTCTGATAATGTGATTTACGCATACTGCTAGCTGAACCTTTATTATATCTGGAGCATGTACAATCGCATCCACAATTAATCCGCGTATCATAGCACGATCTTGTTCATGAATTGAGAAAGGTATTGGCTCGCCTGCTTTGGACTCATGATCAGACCAACTGTTCGTAATTAGATTTTTTAGATAAATCGCCCCTGCTTGACGAACTGGTTGATCAACATTGCTTTGCATAACAATTTGTAATATTGTTGGAACAAATCCAATTATCTTGTGAATTTGTGCCAATTGGTCCTCTGCCGCCTTTCGCTGCTCAGGATTTGGCTCGATAGTGGCCCGGAGCAAATCAGTCAGCTTTTGAGCATCCATTTCTAGCATTCAGTTCTAAATAATTCACACACGTCTATATGCAAAAATTATTATACAAAACAAAGAAAATATGACCACGACAACGACAAAAAGATGGAGGCGAACGGATAAAGCGCACCACCCTTGCCGACAAACCAATGCGATTCAAGAGCGCAAAAAAAAACACGTAACTAGTTCATCATTGAGCTTTTGAGCTTCCTCCAGAAATGTACGAAATGGGTTGGAACAAGCCAGCTTTAAAACATTTTTATCATCATTATCCAGTTGCCTTTCTATTTCTTTAAATAGCAAAAAGGATGACAGCAGTTGCTTTTTGTAATTCATCTTCCATACTTTAAAGCTATCTTCACTATTTACAAGGCAACAAAGACATCCAGCTAACTCACTGCGACTTCTGCTTGGTTCCACAATATTACGGAAAAGCGTAAGAAATATGTTTGCATGCTTGCTGCTGGATAAAATGTACTTAATCAGAAAGCCATGTGCACATGTTATTAGGGTCTCTTGGTTCTCTTTTGGAATGGAATAACTTGTTTTTAATGCGTTGTCGAACGAGAAGAATTCATTTTGATTCAAAGTTATGGTACAACTCTCATCGGATGCCCTCAAAACTTTCTCTAAATATTCCGTTGTGAATTTTGTATAGCTTTTTAATTCGAGAGTGGGTAACATTAAATTTTGCCAGACTTTGATTCCCTCTGTTATCTGCTCTAAGCCACCTTGGCCAATTGGCCAAAGTATGCTTAAACAAATGATGCGCCTATTTTGATAAGAATTTCGTAATAAAGCAAGTTTCGCCATGTTATTCGATGCAACATGTGGCCAATGTCGGCCAATTAATTGAAGTATGAACTTGTAACCCACAATTGGTAAATTCTTGGAAAGCTCCGTAGTCATACTAATTAGTAAAGTGTGGTAGAAATATGATAAATTCTCTTCTCCCACCGATTCTAAAAAATCAAGAACGGCAGTTTTAAGTTCTGCATTTATTAAATTGCACGGATAATTCATTGATTTTCCCGAAAATATCGAATCGGTATCGAACAGAAGTTTTTCGTTGAAAAAACTTGCAACGCCTTTAAGCCAAAGAAGCTCGGAACCAGGATAAGCAAATTTTAACTGCTCCAATTGGCTTGCGAAATCATTTGCTGTAATATTACGTAGCACTGACTCTATATTTATAGCTTTTGAAACCGCCGGCTTCAACTTTGCTTGTTGCTGTAAAATATGTTCCTTTTTCGTTGATTTTTCTTTGAAACTTGTTTTTCTTGGAGACTCTTTCGATTTGGTAGAGGAACTTGCCGACTCCGCAGGCGATAAGTTGGCTTTCCCTCTTTGGCCAGACAATAAATTGCGATACTCATGCAAAGGCAAAATCTCCTCTAGTTTTGGGTCCATGGATGCCAAACGTCTTTTCTCAGTATGAGTCTCCACCTTCTTATCTAAATTCTTAGCTTTTCTTGATTTCGTGACGATTTCCCATGATATGGTGACGACTCCGTTTTTTCTTTTAGTTGTAGAGTTGATAATGGCCGGATCTGAGTGATTCCTTTTGTTTAATGTATCAACGACGAGTGATAGCCGGGCTAGTAATTCTGTATTGCACTGATAAGAAAAAAGAAAAGAAATATTTTGAAGAACTAGAGCATTTACTGAACATTATATAAGAAATAAAAGACATACTCACCCATTTTACTGTTTTACTCCATGTGGCCATCGATTGAATGATTTTTTTTTCATTCAGGAAATCGTAATGTGAGCCGCTGAGTAGAAATGTCAACTTAAGTCTCCGCATAAAGCCGCTACTACATAACTTCCAGCGGCGCCATCTATTTCTCGTTTGTGGAGAAATAATTTTTTTTTTCACATGCTTGTAATGAAATCATTCATAAAAATAAATTTCATTAATTGCCACTTGTAGACAGAAGTAACCACACTTAAATAAATGCCACCAGGTGCACGTAGTAGGTCGGTTAAATTATCGCACTTTGTCGTCAGCCAGTAAGAAGGCTATCGTTGCAAATATTTTTCGTCTTCTTTCTGCCGTGTCGTATTCAGATACGTTTGCACTAATTTTGCCTCTAGATACTCTACTTTCTTTTGCGCAAAACAAATTGGCTGGTACATAAGAATTTTACCAAAAATTTTATATTATATGAGCTACCCTGTTTTTGGCAATGGTAACATACAGTGGCACCTCAATTTTTTTTTTCGGCCCCCAGGCTGTTGGGTGTCGATCTTGGCTAAACAAAAGTCTCCAAAGTACAAAGAAAGTTTTGTTTTACATTGGCAGAATTTAAGCCATCAATTTGAAAAAAAAAAAAAATAACAAATCAGCTGAACAAAAACAAATTTCTTGCGAATGCCCTCAGTTTGACACTTTCCCATGTTGCCTTTGAAATTTGTTAGAATTGTCATAATGTCAGGGCGACATATATTTTTTTGTCTTCCGGTACAACCCTGCATAGGAAAATATATAGCACCGGTGTGACCCATCAACCACAATACATGGGTAATTCTGCGTTTACACGTGCCAGTTTCCAATTTCGATATGCCCAAGAACGCCCTGCTTAGATCGTAAAATTTAAGATTTGCAAAAGGAAAACGAAACTTTCTCGCCGATCCGTTTTACTTTTATATATTTAATCGCTCGC